CTGCCGACAGCAGATGCCGCGCGCTTGGTGTGGGACCGTCTCTAGCAACGTGTCTGGCATCGCTTCTGATGGCAGGATCTCGGTCCCCCGCCCAAGCGGCAAACAGACAATATGTTAGTCGCTGAGAATTCACGAGACTCATGTGGTGGAGGGCATGATGCAGCCGCGACACACGAGGCCCACGCCGGCTTCGATAGAGAATCAAAAGCAGGCTTACGAACGGGCCTCGGGCATTTGTTGGATCATCCATCTTGCATATGCCATCTGCAACCATCGAGAGGCCAGGGCTCTTGACCAGCAGCTTGAGTCGGGAACGCGGACAATCAATGAGCAGAAGAGCTCCAGCCTCTTGCATGCTCTCAGTAATTGATATGCTTGCGCAGTCGTCGGCATTGCTGAGATCAAGCGCTGGACATTCTGCGCAACGCTGCAGAAGAGAAGAAGATGAAGTGATAGCCTCTGCAGACGAGACGCTGGCTGACTTTGCTGTTTGCAGATTACCTTGGCTGTAGATGTGGCTGTATCTGTGAACAGCTGACTACAAAATACTACAAGACTCTTGCTGTAGACCCTGCAGGCTCCTTACCAAATTCGTTCTTGTTGAGGTACACTATGCAGCTAGAAGAGCAGCTCCTGCAGCAGGACAGGCTCAAGCATCGGACGAAGATGTTGGTTGGTGTCTTTGCCAGCTGATTGCCCCAGGAGTTCGAGCTGGATGAGCAGTGCCACCAGCAGATCATGCAGCTTCAGCAGGCATCGTGCTAGTTGACAGCCACCCCTTTCGGGGTCCAAGCTGCTTGGCTGCTATATGGCCACCTCAGGCAGCGTTTCAGCAGAAGTCCCAGCTCGAGCATCAGGCGACATGCTTTCGCACCCCTTTGCATTCTCTGCTTGCTCCCGTGGTTTCCCTGGCTTCTTACATCAGGCCAGCACTCTGATCATGGAGTTCAAGCAACGTCAGATGCAGGAGGTCGGTGTGACATAATCTGTGTGACATGCGTCCTTTCCATGTGCCTCCCTGTCGCAGCAACTACAAAATCGGCTCTACCAGCAGAAGCTGAAGATGTACCAGATGCGTTGGAGACTCACTAAAGGGGCAGGCACATCTCTTTGAGAAAGCAGCGACGTCCGTACGGAGACTTACCGAGGACAGGCACAACGCCCGGGTGGCCAGGGACCTCCCTAGTGAGATTGAGCAACGCGACTTGAGCTGTGGACGCGCTCGCAGCGCATGCGCTCGCGCTCCCAGCAGCCGCACAGCCCCCCTCGTAGCTGGAACCCGTGTCCGCGCTCCCGATTCTTCACCTGCAGATCTGCTACTACTCCTCTAGTCCCAAGCACTGAAACGTTTGAGCAATATTTGGTATTTTCCGTCGGGGTGCGAAGTACCTTATGCTAATGATTTCGCAAGCCTGGCATATGTCGGCCATGCGTGTAAAACTGACACCGCTAAAGCTTCTTGTCAGCAATGCAGTATGTTTCAATGCAGTACCTACTGGTTGTGCGAGCCCATTGGCAAACGCTGAGGCTCAGAATCCAGGACTGCCGTGGAAATCAAGTATCCGCCTGTAGCGATTCATCTTTTGGACGCGTTTCATCTGCAACTACAGCCTAGCGCGGTGGCGGCCCACAGTGATTCCACGAGCTTTTGCCATGCAGCCATGGCTTTGGACGACGCTTGCAACACTCACGGCGCTGGCGGGATCCTAGACATCTGCACAGCTCTGGCAAGACGGACAGCAAAGGCGTTGCATGCAACCGCTGACCTGGGAGCTGTGCTGCCGGCTGGGAACTAAGTGCCAAATGCAATCATATGCAGCGGGTGGTAAAGCAATCAAGTGTCACTGTCGGGATTCATGGCTGACTCGATGGGAGGGTGTTGCTATCAAAAGATGGAGTTGGCATATGCAGCGCATCTTCAACATGCACCTGCGCGGATATGAGACACATCACTAAGCCCGGTAAACGGGAGTCTTGCAAGGCCGGGATGCACTGCACGTGCCCGTCTTAGAGTGGACAGGATATTTGGCTTCATGGTCTCGCTGCGTCTTGCTAGTCAAGGCACTCAGCCCTTGCGGTGGAGTCACCAACGCCAGGGACGGAAGCAGATGCCCTCAGCTGCCAAGTGTGAGCTTTCAGTAGCGGTGGCCGTGCATGATGCCTTCAGAGCCTGACACCCTGTGGCTAATGGCAAATCGTAAGACACAACAATAGTTTTGGAAAGTCAGCGAACCTTGGAAAGCGCCTAACAGCTCAAGGAATTCACCTGTCCACCATACTTCAATGCACGGACCTGCCAATGCCTCAAGCTGTTCCAGCTTTTCCTGCGGCTTGCGGAATTTGTGACGCATGACTTCACATCCGTGAGCACCCAGTCATTTCTTGAAGGCTGCCAACGCAGCGAGATGGAAAGGATTTGGGAGAAGGCAAGCTGCCCTTCCGTGGAAGCATGCTGCCTGCTTTGATGCCGCACCTTTGTCCTCCGCAGTTTGAAAAACCCCCAGGTGGAGGATATGCTTCAATTTATCCTCAGAGTGCTAGCGCACATCCTCAGATGTCAACTGATGCAAGCTCAAGCCATGTGGTCCGAATTTTCCAGCCAAGGATGACCAGGGAAGGGATTTGCAGGCTGCAGAGGAGGAAGAGGCTACGGCACAAAGGTTTTCGGCGAGGTCAAGATGTGTCATGCCTTGTTTTATCAGGCTGCAGGCCTTCTGCCGGATGATGGATCTCCTTGCTGCTTACTTAGGGATGTATTCCAGCATTTTGCGTTTGACGTCTGCGTCGAAGCCTGCTTTCCAAGGCGCAAAATACCAGGCGCAGCTGTTTCGTTCCCGCCTCCAAGGTAAGGGCACTTCAACTGGCAGACTATTCTCATGAGCCACGCCATCTGGCCCAACTTGTTCTTGAGGCGCGCGAGCAGCTCGAGAAGCAACTGCCAAAGGTGGGGCCTCAAGAGCGAATCTGAAATTTGGCATCTGAAGGGTTGTAAAAGCAAGCAGCACCAGTCCATGATCAGCTAATGAAGCAGAAGTGGTCATTGACTGCTGTGCTGATCATGACCACGTTGTGTTACTATGCAAGAACTCAGACTCATCCATTGCTTTCCCGCTCGGGGTGGAAAGCTTGGGGCATGATGGTGGAAGATGCGTGTGTGTGCAGTCGGAGCATGCTACTCCCTGTTCCAGCATGTGAATGTCGTGACATAACTTGGCCCGACAGCTGTTCTAGTCTATTTGAGTTGCATAGATCAAGTTGTCATGTCTGAGTTCCGCCCAACCAGCAATTCTTGAAGATAGTCGGACACGATCTCACTGAGGTCTAGACGTTCTTCAAGGTTCCACCATGCATTTGCTGTGCTTGAAGCCGAGTTCCTCTGCATGCGCATGGCATTCGGTTTCAGCAGCCGCCAATTTCAAAGGTGCCGCATGTTTCCAAAGCTCTTCTGCGTTAAAGCTGGAGCAGGCCCGGCTGTGGGTCATTCGCATGTTGGGGGCTGCACCCCGCAAGCTGAAGCTATCTGATTGTGCTCGGAAACTACAATACAGGTGTAGAGAAGTATGCGTATGTGTGCCAACTGAGATTGCAAAGCTAGCTCTGACTTATTTTTGCTGGGGCAAGACAAGTGGGGAGGATGGCAACCCATAAACCGTAAACTCCACTCAGCCACCATGCAAGTCACGATACCACCATGTGGCGACAGCACTGTTCAACAGGTTGTGCTGTTTGGTAGGGGCTGACGCAGGCCGAGTAGGTAGCATCTCCATGCTAAGGAGCAGCAAAGTAGCTCTGGGACAACTCAGAGCACACATGAGAGCAAGCGCCGCGTAGCCGACCGAAAGCTAACCCTCATTTTTTCATTTGCAGGTCGACAACTTCACGCGGAGTGCCCTGCTTTCCCTACAGGACGGCGTTCCGAACTTCAGCCTGGAAAAAGGGTAAGAGATCTGGCATATTCTTTTCTCCAGGACAGGATGGGTGCAATCTTCACAGAACAGTTTCTTCAGGACGGCAAACTGCTTGATTGAGGACTACAACTTACTGCGTGGGAGCGGACTTGCCAGGATATGCCACCAGATCCCTCATGTTCACTTGGGTATGTCACGGAGCTTTCCGCAGGCTGATGCTAGCTGCTAGCTAGTCCGGCTGGACCAGACGGGCACGCTGCATCATTCAATTCAGGCAGCTTGTTTCCTGCCTGGGGCCGCTTTTCGCCGGCACCCCCGCCTCCCGTTCTGCACATCCACATCTTCCGCTTAGCGATGTCCAGTGGATCTGCCAGGTTTTGGCTCCATCTGCCACCCTGTTGCAGACTTTTGCAGCATGGATGGACCGAGCAGGGACCTTGACAAGCTTTCATGCACAGGTGAGATTGCGAAGAGACTTGGAATTGTTTGCGAAGTGCGGTCGTTCTATTGACGTAAGGTCTTGTCGTTGCTGGTGGAAGTTCCTGGATCTCTGTTGCGCCAAGCTTAGTGGCAAATTTCACCATGATGGAATGAATGGTGCTTACTGTCACTCAGCCACAAGGTTCCAGCACACCATGCTGAAGGCCTGGCATGAGTACCAAATTGAACTGTCATCAAGATATGTTCAAGCGAATAATTCGCCTCAGCTTCTCCTCTTCTATGGCGAGCGGCCCGACAGTCACATTCTCGGTGAGGTGTCTGGGAGTTGCCCTGCAGTCTTGAAGCGAGATAATGGCTCAGGCGATGCTTTCCGACTCCTCATCGGGCACTTCTGACATGTTGCCATCCCAAGTTCAAGAGAATCTGGTCTGGATGGCAAGTGAAAGGCAGGCGCAGGTGCCAGAGCTTCAGCGTTGGGACATTCAGGCCTGACTCTGAGCAGGTCCTGTCTGAACTGAAGGGAGGAAAGAAGGTCTCGTGGCAGGCAGATCCTCCAAACCTCTGCCCAGAGAAAGTCAGCAGGCTCTTCCTATTCGTCCGCCAGGCTTGCACGGGAGTATTCTTGAGTGCATATGGTGGTGCTGAAGTTCTGCAGTAATCCGGCTGAGCAGACTGTGCACAGCACGAGCTTGTGAATGGGATGCGTCATGACATGCCTGGCCCCATGGCTCGTTGCAGGTAGTCAGGCCAGAGACGGTTTCTGAGTGCTACAGGCACCTGCAGGCCGAACTGCTTCCAAGATGATGTCGAGTGAGTCAAAGATCTTTTCAGAAGATGGCTTCTCAACAACCACGGTCCCGGGCGGCCCCGAATCCTGAAAGGAAGTCCAGTCATGTTCGCTGCAGTGGGCGCCATCCTGAGTGGGCTGGGCTGGGCTAGGCTTGATGGATGTCCAGTCTGTATCGTCCCATTTGCTGTTCAGGTGGTCACGAACCAATCCCATGTCACAGCCCTGTCTGACGAGGCTGCCTGAGTTAACAGAGCTCCTGCAAAGATGTGGCGAAACATGTAGGGAGCAAGCTTAGGCAGTTGATCTTCAGGACAAGTCCCGCAATTCTTGAGTTGCGGAAATGTCTTCGACAATCGACCATGGCTGCAGGCTGAGCACCGTGGCCGGAGTCCCCAAGCAGAGCTTATATGGCGGCGTTTTGAGGTTGGGACAAACCTTTGCTTTCGCTAAATTCAAGATGTTCGTCTGGCATCAGGTTCGAGATTTAGATGGCTTCGTGGCAGCTCTATGTCCTCATCAGCCTGTGTGGGTTGCTGATGTTGAGGCAGAGCTGCCCGGCAAACATGATTACAGGGGAGGTTGGGGTTTCTATAGGCAATGTGGCCAACACCAGGTCGTGCAAACATTCGGCTAAAGCACGCGAGCAAACAGGTCGGGTTTGCATGAGTTTGGACCTTCTGCATTCTTAGCATCAGTCAATTCACTGATGGCTCTAAGCTTTTGATGACCTGGGTTTTAAGGAGTGCTGAATGGTTTCACGACTCTGGTTTGGCAGCAGACCCTAAATGGGGCATCAAAGAGAACATGCCGGGATTGAACACATGGTAACTGTAAATGCTATCGCGCGCCCGCCTCGGCTGTTGGGTGCACAGAAAGCAATGCCCCCATTCGGGGGGCCGCGAGCGGGGCAGGGGGTGTACCTAAACCCTAAATGACACTTCACCCCATGTATCCCAGCATTGGGATCCGCGCTGGAAGTCTATGCATATAGCCTAAACGGGGAGCGACATCGTCTCAAGGAGGCAGAGGCCGGGGTATCGGGAGGGGGGAAGGGGGCTACAAGCATCAGCTTAGACCTAGCACCTGGATGTTTGAAGTAGGGGAGTCGGACCGAGGCTGACAAATTCAAGGCTCAAAGCATGTTTCGGTTTCAAATCAGGTCTGAGCCTTACCCTAAACCACTAGCCAGTGTCACAGCATGTCGTGGACAACGCCTATGTGCAGGACACAAGTAGGCGATGGCGCTTTCATGCTTTGCAGAGGTGGAAAAAAGACCGTCTAAGGCGCATGCCCAGCGCCGCCGCAACAAAAAGCTGGCCGCCCCAACCAAACTCGGCAAGTCAAAACGTGCGTCGCCGCAATAATACGAGCTATGGATTCCTTTGGGCTGTAAGGTGCGGGCGTGAGCCCATTCTGAGTGTCGAAGATCGTGTCTTGTTCAGAAAAAAGTTTTCTTCAGGAAAAATGCGGAAATCATCGGGGCTTCCTAATTTGCCAAGAGGAAGAGAAGGTCTTGGAACGTCTGAGCTTGAAAAGATGCATGTTCCGAACCCCAAATGTCGCAGCAGAAGCTCCAGAAAAGCATCCGCATTCATGGGGCGGCCGATGCCAAAGAACCGTTGGAAAACAAGCCAAAGTAAATTTGCTCAGGAGACGTGCCCAAACCCTGTTCAACTTTAATCGCATATATCCCAACAGTCTAAATGGAGGGGAGGGCGGGCGGGGTGCTTGGGGGGGAGGCGGGGGCAGAGGGTGGGCTGGGATTTTGAGGGATGCAAAACTCGCTTACTCCCAAGCCTTCGAGCCCTGGAAGTCCTGAAATTTCATGCTGGATGGCGGGGCTGGACTAGGTCGCCCACCACTGGAGGGGGGGAGGGGTGGACGGGGTCTGCAAAGGGGGAGTAGAGAGAGTTTTTTCAGGCTTCCAAACGCCCTGAACCTGGATAGCTTCGGCGAATATGCCCAAGTAGGATTCCAAGTGGCAAGCTCCTCCAGCGGCCATCTCATGCCTCCTGCATAGAGACACTGGGCGCATGTATCCACGACTGAAGCGATCAATCAATTGCAAGGCAATGAGCTGCGGAGAAGAGACAGCAAGAACAATTTCCAGGCCTTGCACTGTTCTAGTAAGGCTGCTAGCATGGTGCTCACTGCTGAAAGAATTGAAGATGAGTTAGCAGTGGCTTATCTAGAAAGATTCTACCGCCAGCTTTAAAGTTTTCTTGCTAGGTTATCCACGTCACCACTGGAGCAGGATCTGCTGCACGGGGCTTTGGGCCAGACTTGGCGTATCTGGAGATGTTATTTTTGCTTGCATGTGGTTACGTCAGAGCGAACAAGATCGAACAAGGGGGAGAGACCTTGAGCAGTGACGTCTTCTTCGTTCTTCGAACTCACTCAGTGACGTGTGCTTGACGTGGAAAGCGAAGCACACAAAGGCCGTCCTCCTGGCCGCGCGGGGTCCGTCCTGCTAGGCAGGTCAGCTTGGTCAAAAGTTGCTGGTGTGTCTTTGGCATGATGTGGCGGAAGTTCAGAATTAGTCCCGTAGAGGACATAACACGAACAGCGGATGGCATCTTTGAGCAGTGACGCAGTGATGGGGGTTGGTGGTGAACCCATCCCATGACAGAGATGCATGAGGCCTCAGCCATTGCCTTCGCCTTGGCCGTCAGCCTGGCTTTGCTTGGCTTCAGGTTACACAGACAGCTACGTTGCAGTGCGTGTTGAGCATCCTCTTGCCAGCATCCAGGCTTTCTTTCAAACTCCCAACTTCTGCAGGTTTGCAGGCAGCGTAGGAGAGCTTGTGCAATTGCATAAGCAGGGCTAGAGGTTTCGGGAACAACATGCCGAAATCACTCCAACAAGAGCAGGACTCTTGGCAGGCACCAACAACCAGGACACACTGGCATTATGAAGCCTATGCTGATAGGAAGCTTTCGCCGCACGACAGACCGGACTGTGCTTTGCATGCAGCAGCACCGCTGCAGCCATTTAGATGTCTGAAAGCCCGAAAAGTATCTTTGTCCAGGCGTTGCTTCAATCAGTGGATGCTTATGAACTGCTTCATCTGGACATTCTCACGAAGCGTGCAGTCAGTGTAAGACCCGGCGCTGCAAGCGGATGTCAGATCTCGGAACTCAGCCGTTGCAAGCTTCAGCGGGATGACAACAGAAGCAATGCAGCTGCCAGGCCACCATACGTCAACACCTACATCCAGGCGAAGCCGGATGCATAATGTTGTTGACATTCACCCCTGTTGCTGCTATGTTTGAAGGCTTCTCTCCCTATGTGGGACTTTCTCAAATTCATCGCTTTAGATTCCTCAATGATGGGAAACCCCAAAATCCCGCCTGTAATTCCCATCATTTTTCCAAGGCCCCCTCTCTTGAGATACACAGTTCATGCTGGCGACCCATGTGAAATATGCATGATGTCAATTCTGTCAACAACCAGCTTGGCTAACAAGAACCAGCTTGTTGGATCAGAGGCTGATAGAGCAAGTCTCAGGTTGCCGTCTGTGTTAGCACGGCCCCATGTCTTTCCTTCAGGGGCCTCGTGAAAACAAGCCGTCCCTCCGAACACGCAGAGCCCATGGCCTCACGATGGATCTCGATCGTGATCTTAGCTTTCGTCATCGTAAGACGATCATGCTTGTATGGCTGGTGCTAGCGAAACTGGTGCTGGTGATCATAGGATTTGTGATGCCGATGATGCTGCTGGTGATGATATAGCAGAAATTGCAGACTTCGGTGTGATTCGGTGTGCGCACTGAGAGTAGCTACTGTCCATGCTACATCGATCATCATGGTACCGCGCATGAGTTCTGTCTATGTTTCTCCTGCTGCTGCTGGTGCTTGCATTCACTGCTGTTACTTCCAAGCTTTAATAAGTCTTATTAAATGCTGTTGCGTGTCTTGCACGTCTCAAAGTTTGAGCATGGACTGCCCTGTTCACTGGACCTTGCGTTGTGGAAGTGCTGTATGCAGGCTTAATGTGAGCCAGCCTCGTGTTGCGGTTCTATTGGCCACTGGAAGGCCCATGCTTCTACAGTGCGCGATCTTGCGAAAGGCAGTGAGCCAGCAAACTCCAAGGCACGAGCGGCCCAGAAAGTCCCTAGAAGTCCGTTCAATCGAATGGATACTTGCCAAGCCGTTGATTGAAGACAGCCAGCGCTGCTACAGCTCACTTTAAAATATTATGTACTGGCGTGCCATTGTGTCAAAGCTCCAGCAGACTGTTCAGGTCTTGGTCTATGTTTGCACGGCGTGGAGCCCGGTTGCGTCTGGCAAGTTGCATGCATGCCGCTCTCCCCTTTGTCTCCCCAAGGCAATGAGTTACTGCGGCGGACACGGAGATCGGCTGAACGGGATGATCAGTGCAGCCCTGGGTTCTTGAGCTGTTTGGGCCGTAGTTGGATGTCTGGAGCACAGCTTCAGCATCAGAGCCACCTTTGGTGTCTCGATGCATCAAGTGGTTGCGATTTGCGGCTCTTTAGCACAGGGAAGCAGTCCAACCCACCTCTCATTCCACGTACTTTGGATAGGATGAGTATTAGATACAATCCGAGGTCACAGATTGTTGTTGGCAAGGATCCTTGGGGTCGTGCTGCAAAGGTGCCTTCGTGCTGGCCTTGCTATCAGATCGTGCCTTCTTCATCGACTCGCAGCGCCCTGTACCGCTCAGCATGGCCGCCTCCTGAACTGTCCTTCTGTTTGTATGGCAGCTTCGGCTTGGGGAGATGGTCATGACATGGCATATTGCGTACTCATGGAGGAACATCTGAGCATGTAACGTAGGAGATGTAGGAGCTTCTAGCTACCACAAAGGCCTTGATAGCTACCAATACCGCGTGAGATGTAGACTTTCCAGAAGCTTCTCTACATAGTATGACTGGCTTGCCCAGGTCTTGCAGCCGAGGCCAGCTGGGCTTGACTGGCGAATGTTCGGCTCCCATGCAGCTTTGTCGGTCCGGGGCCGAGACCGCGGCTCTCTGTCTTTGAAAACGGAAGCTACCACAACGGCTCTGGGTTCATGCAGGCTGGCTTCAACCTCAACGACAACTTAGCCGCTTTTGAAGGGGACCCACAAACCGTTCCAAGCTGAGCTATCATGAATCCCAACCAGCCATTTTGCTGGGATGTGCTCGTCATTGTGAGGTGCTCGAAAGTCAGGAGAGAGTCATAAGGCTCACATCCAATCAACGCCTATAGCTCGGGCAAAGAAGGATTTGGGAGTGCCTCAAGCAATACATCCATAGATCCTATGGAGGTCTTTACTTCAGATATCTTTACAACGAAACGAGGTCTGTTGGTGTCACCCCCAGGCCTGACCGCAGTGGCCCTTCAGGCTGCAGAGCAGCGTGCAGCTTCTCGAGGCTTTTTATACTGCTTTGGCATTTCTGGGGCAAGCCCATGTACACCTGCGTTGTGGGGCTTATCTGGCAATCCCCTTTCAAACCTCCATGGATAGGCCTCAGCCTTCAGCCGGAGCTGCATTCGCATCTTTTCCAGATGCTATTCGAGCCGCGAGCTTCCCAGCAAGAATGCACAAAACATCTCCAGGATTTTTGGGACGGCTAATGGCCAACCACGCGGCAAGGTCACCAGCATTGCTTGCACGGCTGAACGCCCGGAACCTGCCAGTGGGCCGCCGCATAGGCCCGGTTTGGAAGCCGTGCTCATTGGGTTCACGAGACTTTCTGGCCATGAGGCATTCACTTCCGAGCTGGAGACCAGATGCCGCAGAACTGGAAGGAGTCTTTCAGGGCCTCCAGCAAACTCAGAAGAATGTCTAAGTACAGGGACTGTGTGAGCTCAATGACCAGGATCCTCCTCGCCACCCGCTTTCGCAACTGGAGCGCCAGGGATGCTCGTGGGTGAAGGCATCAGGCTGAGACTTGCGTGCAAGACCCCAGGATGAGTTTCTGGATTGCGCAGAGTCTCTGGAAAAGGAGCACGGTGGCTTCCTCAGAAGTTTGTTCTTTGGGTTGCTTTGTGGTATCCCTGCTCAAGTGAAGGTTGGGAGGCCACTTTCATTCTTTTCGCCGACACGGACAAGGTGCTGACCATCCCCAGGGTCCAGGACAGAGCGCCGCAGCGACTGCGGGCCCAGTCATAGGGCTGAGCCTGGCGAACGAAAGATTGCAAAAGGTCATCTCTCGGTTTGCCAATGTTTGCGGCAACCTGCGCTTTTACTCTGAATATTAGATCGCGGCTGGCAGGAATTGCAGATATGTTGCATGTGCAAACAGCGCGCCTTGGAGGAACTCATGTCATCTGGGAAGCTCGTCCCTGGCTCGGAGCTTGCCAGAGGACGGCCAGGGCGAAAGTAGTGTTCATAGTAGTGTTCCAAGATTATCCTTAGAGCAAGGAAGTGATGTTGATGAACCTGAGTTAGCCGTGTCAGTAGGTTCATTATTCTGATGCCTTCTCTGTGGACCCACTTTTCTGAGGCCTGGCCTAGCGAGTCAGACGGCCTCGTGCACTTGGCGAGGGGCTTGGACTCCTGGGGCCTGCCTATATTATGGTTTGCATAGAAGATATAGAGGGTCTTGGTAAGGTGTATGGATATACACCACTAATGGACCTGGAGAATCAAATCATGACAAAGAAAATCGACAATGAATATGTGTGTACGGTGTAGTGGAGAGGGCTTTAGTAGAACAGGCAGCAGCAGCCTTGATACTTGTAGCACAGCAAATTCTGGGATAAACTGCCATGTTAGCTCTGTTAGATGCTGCTTTGGTTCATCCTGAGAAGCAACCCAGTAGTCACATGTTGCTAAGATCCTGCATGCAATATGAGCTCAACCAGGACAGATCCCCGGCGACCTTAACTGCCGCGGCCTTAGAGACAAACTTCTGAAAGCCTCCAAAGATCACCACTGTTCGGAATTATTCAGCTAAGGCAGTCTAAGTTGGATAATGCAGTCTTGCTGCGTAAGCTGGAAGTAACCAGGACATCCATTGCTCTTACAGTCACCATCCTCAGCATTGTCTGCAGGTGCGGGGTCTTCTACAGACTTGGTCGGATTGGTGGACCTTGGCCTTTGACGTTGATGCTTTGGTGCTATGTCACAGCGGTCTGCCTCTTACAGTAGCATGTCAGTTTTGGTTTTCCTTTTTGGACTGCCAACCAGAAGTGCTGGCACGGCTGAGGTAGCATCCCATGATTACTTATTCTTTTGTTTAAAGACATTGCCACACGGTTTAACAAGCGAAGCTGCTGGCCAGTTGCCTGCCAAGATCTACCTTGTCGAGGCTTTGGTGCAACAGCCTTGGAGATCGGTCACAGACGTCCTGCCGCAACGCTCTCAGTGACGGGAATGTGGAAGGGCTTTCCTAGGCTGGGTGGCTGGCCTGGCCACAACCTTGTTTGAAGGTCATCGGACGGGGCTGCGTGCCAGCAGACGGGAGCACAGGCACCGAGTCTGCGATTCTGCATTCCTGCCAGAACTGGTAGCCGCTCCTTGTCGTCGTCACAGTTGCGGGAGAGCACTTGATTTTGAATTGTCGTGCATGCATACCCCAAGCCAGGATGACATCTCCTTAGATCCAGGGCAGCTCCAGGGTCATCGCCGCACATCGCAGGAGAGAAATGAAGTTTGGACACAGCGCATCTTCATGCAGATCTCGTGACATCGGGCATGAGAGACGCCAGCTCTGCAATTCTTGGCAAAGTTTCATGGACTTGCAAAGTGACTTGCACTGACGTCACGCAACGCTCAGCTCGCCACGGGCTTGTAGTCTGCACGGTCACTCACCAGTAGTAAAAGGGGCTCGAGATCTTATTGTCTTGGGCTTCTCAGGATGGACTCAACCATGATCAACCGATGATGAACCCTAACATTCAGACGCACTGCCCACTTGCCGGTTGTGGGAGAGAGCCATGGAGGTCAGATGTTGCAGTCATTGGCAACCTTTGGAGCCGGTGTCTTCACAGGGCAGAGTCTTCAGACTTGCCGCACGTCGCTGCCGCAGTGCAGCATCACTGAGGACCTGCGACTGCATAACCTGCAAAGCTTGAGATCTTGCCACAGCTTGCATTCGAGCTTCAAGGACCAGGCACGTCTGCTGCTCCGCTGCCACGGCGTCAACGTGCCAGCGCTGCCGGCACCAGGCGTGCTGTCTCGGCAGCGGCCGCAGCTTTGCGTCCGACTGGGTGCCGCAGAGAAGCAGACGGAGACTTGGCGGCCATCAGCGCGGAAAGTCATCAAGTCAAAAAGCCAGCGGACATGTCTCGGTTAGCGGTCAGCAAGTTGAGCACTTGCTTGCTTGCAACAAAAGAAGGTGCCAAAGTGTAGAGAGAGCCGGACAACAATTGTCAGAATCATTCAAAATCAACAGCCTTTGGATGGTTATAGCCCTGGTGGTTGAGGAGCCAGGAGATTTTACCAACGGGAGCTTATCCTTGCTGAAGAGCTCCGAGCAGGAGTGCAATTGGCGCTTCGGGGACGTGATGACATTTTTCGTGACTGCTGACGACATGCTCCAGGCAGGATGATTTTGTTGAGTTTGCTCAATGAAGTAGACGGTACCAAATACCACATCGACTATTGTTTTTTTGGGCGGCCTCCGAAAAACCAGACTACCCTGGCTTGAGGGCCTTCGCTTCCGTCTGCTCTCCAAAACAGACTTCCGCTTTGGGCCCGTCCAGATGGAGTTGGCACAGACTGTGGAGCTGGGCGCTGGATCCTTGGATTTGAGGACCCTTGTTTAAAGTTCATAGCATCTCATCGTGACTTTTTTGCCCATTTATGCATGTATTGAGTTTGGC